TCTTGTCATAAGGCATGAATAGAGATCTGCGTTTGCTGCATGGGCTTCTTTTGACACAGCTGGGGCTGAGGGTGATGCTTCACAGACATGTTGGCTTAAACTTTTATGGTGCTTCATCTTCTGACTCAGCATATTATATCGAACGGAAACTCTTCAGGTGGTGGAACAGGTTCAATGTGTTCCCACTGCTAGTTGGCTCCAGCACATTTTGCAGCACACTGAAACCTGAAATTTATCAGATGGGTAGCCGAACCACTTCCACACCGCTGAATTAGTCTTTCCTCTATCAACTATGTCGTCTGTTTTCTCTTCGCTTGTGAAAGCTTGTTCAGTCACATTTGTATTTTGTATTACGGTCATGGACACTCATTTTGTAGCTAAAACTTACCGCGTTGGAGCTTAGCCTAGCCTAGCACCGCTGAGCACAAGCTACTGCTTCTGGGCTCGGGCTCCATGTCTGTGGTGTACGTCATCACTCACGTAGTTAATGTTGTTGCAGCATTTTCTGTTCAGCTTGAAGCGGCCGCATCGTGAACAGTGAAACGCTGTAATCATAGCGTGTAATGTAGGGCTGCAACAACAAATCGATAAAAATCAATGATTAAAAGCGTTGGCAATGAATTTGATTATCGATTCGTTGTGTCGCGTGATTATGCATCTTTCACTGCGCTGCAGAGTCATTTTGTTCACGGGCAGTTCATTGTCAATGCTGACTGAATAAAGTGAAGAAAAAAGAACTCTGCAGCACGAGTTGAACAGAGCGAGGGCGGAGGCGGAAACAAAGCAGAGGCTGTTTTCAAAGAAAATTAAGTAAAGTGAAAACTGTTTGACCCAAGTTCTCCAAAGTTTGGGAGCTCTTCACAAAGATAAAAAATGAGAAACATGCCGCTTTGAAAATCGTCCACACGACACGGGAGAACCACGGAGATAAACGTAAACATGTCAGAGTCACGAGGAGGAGGAAGGAGCTGCAGCTGATACAACTCTTCATGTGTTGCAGGTGAGTCTCTACAATTTCACACATTGTTCTGTTTCCAAGAGAGAAAACGTAACGTCAGTCTCTCTGCAGCTGAAGCTGCTGCTTGTTTGTTTGTTAACCGATTAATGACGGTGATGGAGAACGTGTTACTTTTTATTTAATTTAATTGGTACAAGCAGTGTTTAAATGTGATTTATAAATAAATCTAACACAAAGATAATAATTTAATGATTAAGCTTCAACTTTTAATTTGCTGGCAAAGTCTGAAGACACTGCAGGTATGGCAGGATGAATTGCATTTAAACAGGAATTAAAGTCATTTATTACATCTACTCAAATGTGTGTAATTAAGTATTTTATATATGTGTGTGTGTTTAATTGCTCTTTTAGCTACATTTGCCTGAACCTAACACTGTTAGTGAAACAAGGCATTTCTTGAGTTGCTGTAAATTATGCTATAATACATATTTACTCTCTCATTCCAGAAAACAACAACAAACAACAACATCCTTCATGATGGACAGACATCATGGACACCACAGCAGCAGCTGTCTTCACTGAAATCACCATTAAATGATCGTCACTGACACGAGGCCTCTGTCCATGGTTGAAGACGAAAGCTTCACTACAATAATCCACACTTTTAATCCAGGTTACACTCTTCCCTCAAAGACACATTTTACAAAGTAGCTACATATTGTGCAGGTATAAAGATACATTTATATATATTTTTGTGTACATTTATTTTTTTAAGCTATTTTACTAACTTTTATTTTTCAATATTTTACTAACAAAATAGTCAAATAGAAACCTGTTTTTTGTGTGAATTATGTCAGTCAAATGTTCAATTTTGGAATAAAGGGGTGGAAATTAAAACGTCCCCCCCCCCGGATCCATCGATTAATCGAGGAAAAAAATAATCGGCCGATTAATCGATTATTGAAATAATCGTTAGTTGCAGCCCTAGTGTAATGTATATCAAAATATTGGAAATGTGCTTAAAATAAAAGTATATTGCGACATATTGATGTCGAAATATTGCCCAGCTCTACACCAAACCTACCCATCACTTCCTCATCCCCTCTGTTTCTTTCACAAACGTTCATTCAGGTCTGCTCCGATCACCACTCTCTCCTCCCTGGGAATGCTATCACTTCATCCAGATCTTTCCTAGGGCTGGGTACCTTTCTAAAAAAAATCGGTATCGGTACCTTCACTTCGGTGTCGGTTCTTTTTTCGGTACCAATTTTGTAATTAATATTAATTCTAACAAGAATAAAATTACGTTACACATTACAGTACAAATTGTGAGTTTTATTTTTTTAACTTTGGTATTTTTCTATTCCAAGCAGTTTTCTTACATAAAAACAAAAATAATTTCCAGTTCAAAAGACCAGTTACAAACCAGTGACACGTCAGTGTCTAATGTTCACTGCTACACTGAGGACCTTTTCACTGAACAGTTTTTCTTCAGAAACATCATGTCTGTTTTCTCTGGACACAAACAAGCTGCTCCTGGCTGATGGTGTCTCCAGCAGTAGAACATGTTCACTCTGAGGCTGTAGATGATGATTGTTGCACACACAGACACCTGGTTGTCAGTTTGACATATTGTCCCTCACATCCCACCAGCAGGTCACTGGATTCACTGAGGTAGGGTTGATGCAGACATCTGCACCTCTGTGTCTCTGCCTGAATCTTCTCTGTGGTTCTCTGGGGTTTAGGGCTCTGATCATCTCCCTAATTGACACGAGAACAAAACATCATCAATAACATGGTTGTGTTATTATTGATCAAAAAACATTATCTAGGCTGAGAGATAAAAGTTTAACTGGTCAACAAAATCCTTTACAGTTTAATTTACCTCCAACATGCAGCTCCACTGTAGAAAAAGCAGCAAACTTTTAACAACAAAGTCTGATTGTCCTGTGGCCCCCCCCCCCCC